ATATTTTCTGCGAAAGCATACAATTCTAATTTTAGAATGTTGGATGGAGCTCTTCAAGATCCATCCAGCTTTCCAATAGCTTTTCAGCTATTAATAGCTTTCTATGGCACTGCTCACTCCATTCTAAAATTATTTGTGGATCCAGATGACCCCGTGCATGAAATTGCAATTAGAAGGCAATTAGGAGAGAATTATTGAATTATTGCGTTGCTTTTTTTTCGTCGTCGGCCTCGTGATTCTCTGCGGAAACCCTTAACGACGACGATTCCGACATCCCTTCGTCGATCCCCGGAAGAAGGATCGCCGCGGCCACCGTGCACATTTATACAGGGTGGCCCAAAAAACGCACCAATTTTGATCGGCAATAACTTTTGAACAAATCAACCTTTTTTCGTGTTCGAAACGGGAATTGAAAGGTCTATTAATCCTCTTTCTATCGCCATATCATTTATCAAATTTCCTTTAACAGACTCGGGGCATTTGCAATTTTGCGCTGAACTGAAGACAGCGAATGCCTGTTTCTCTTGAAAGACGCCGCTCACTTAAACTGGTGCCTGGTTTGACTCCTTGGCTGCAAATCAATGAACCGACAGTCTCAACTTTTTCTTTGTGTACGAGCAGTTTTTGGACGCCCGCTGCCCGGAAGACGTTTCCCACTTCCATAATCTTGAAGTTTTTTTTTTAAATCCAGAACTGTTCTTTTCTTCCATGGGCGATCTGGAAACTCCGCGAGGATTTGATTCAATGAGTAATTCTTTTCCTGACGCAGCGCGGTTATCAAACACATCACTGAGGGGGGGGGGGGGAGCCTGGGGAAATTTGAGTTATTTCACTTTGAAGGCGAGGTCACATCTTTCTTGACTGGGATCTTCATGAGTCGGCCTTGTCGACACGGGTCGACCCGACGCGCGAACGCATCCGGTGTCGACGACGGAGTTTTCTTTCACATCGCAATGATAATGCGTACCTGGAAACTTAAGCTTATTTGACACAACTTGATTAATATTACTGCAGAGCAATATCGGCCAAAAATGATTGATATTGCGCTCTTCTGGTAAAGAATTTATTTGAGAAAATGAAGAATTCTCAGCCCAATATTGCCGCCGCAATTCGGTTCGGATATGCACCTCCTCTTATTTGGTACCGCAAAAACAAGTCGCTTCTATGATTTCTGCGCCACCTGTGCGACGACAGGGATCGCCTCGATGGAATAGATATCGCATTCGTGTGAAACGATCGAAAAATCGCCCTGTTGGGCCACGGCCGGAAAAAAGCTTTTAAGAATGAATTGAGAGATCCTCAAGGTGTGCCGTGACCGAGAACCCTGCTGAAGAAACCTCATGAGAATCTCAAAAGGAAACCTCATGAGGTTTTTGGACGGAGGTCTCATGAGCATGACCTCATGAGGTTGACACCAGGAGTTTTCGCATCGAGGCGCCGTAAAAATCGCCCTGTTGGGCCACGGCCGGAAAAAAGCTTTGAAGAATGAATTGAGAGATCCTCAAGGTGTGCCGTGACCGAGAACCCTGCTGAAGAAACCTCATGAGAATCTCAAAAGGAAACCTCATGAGGTTTTTGGACGGAGGTCTCATGAGCATGACCTCATGAGGTTGACACCAGGAGTTTTCGCATCGAGGCGCCGCTTGCCTCGTGGCCCAATAACCGCCAAAGGTCTCTTGGGACTCAGCTTGCAAGGTCCCACGAGTCCTTAAAAGAGAAATTTTCTTATTCGAAGGCATATGTATGGTTACATAACTATCATCTATTCCATCCTCAATACGTCATTCCATCCTGTAGGCCAGAATTGTCTGAAGTCTCCCTAAACTGGGCTATCTCTTCGGACAAGTGTTTTTAGAAAATAAAACATATTTCATTATGTTCAATGTGGAAATAAAATGCATGCAACTTAGTGAGTACAGGAGAGATGTTCCAGTGAGATCTGGGCTTTCGTCTCATCAAAGGGGCTATATAGTCGCCATCTCGCGTCGGTTGTGCATTTCAGGAAAAACCTTATGAGATCCTCATGAGGTTTTCGAACAAGAGGTCTCATGAGGCCTCAATCCTCATGAGGATTACATCATGAGGATTCCCTATTGAGATATTCGGACAACCTCATGAGAAAGTCGTGAGGTCTCATGAGACCTCATGAGTTTGTAGTGAGGTTTTTTCAGCAGGGAAACGTCTGAAAGCCCGCTGCTTGAGGGCATTTTGGAGAGGACTGGTCTCCCTCTCCATTTCTTGAGGGCATTTTAGGGAGGACTGGTTTCCTTCTCTATTTGTCCGTAGCGCAAAAAAAAAAGGCGAAAGGATGTAAGGCGATTTGTGCACTGAGACTTTCGTAATAGAATAAAATGGATTTGATGGAACGGATTCCTTCTTTGGGATTTCTCTTGTTTCTCGGTCTTTCTCGAGGATTTCAGGGCAATTTCAAGAAGCGCCGCGGAAATCCTCTATACTCTTCATGATCTAAGATTAAAGCCAGGATCATCCGGTACCCTTTCCGAAATCTGCGCGAGAACATTCGCGATGCCTAAAACCGGCGTCGAAGGGATTTGCAAATTTAACCGAGAGAATTTCGTGGGTAACGCTGGTTTTCGAATGTCCGCAGTGCTGACCAAAATGAGTGCCAAAATGAGTTTTCGCGCTTCCTTGGCTTCGTGCGCAATTCTTTCAGATGTGTAATGTGATACGTTTGTGCATCGCGTCGGCTCTGCAGAGTCAACGAAGCTCGAAGATCGAGACGATACGGTATTTTTGCCTTCACCGTATAAAAGGATCTTCGTCGTCGCATGATTCCGCCGTCGCGTGTTTCCGCCGTCGCATGTTCCCGCTGTCATGCGGTCAAATGGGGTAGCTCCACCGAAGCAACGGAATGGGCTTGGTCAGAGATTCTGTAATTTATTTTAGTTGCATGAACCATGTTCGTGGAGGCGGCCCCCATATTTTAAGTCTAAAAAATGTTGGGACATCGAGGAAATGATCTTCACCAGGGATGCACAACTCAAAAGACTGTGAGGGCCATTCGCGATTTTTACTCACAGCGCAGGCTGCAGTCTGGCTGACCATAGCTGTGGCCTACAGGGCAGGAGCCATAGTAGCCCTTAAAACGCCATCAGTCACGGTGGGCAGCGAGCAAGGGCCTCGCGGGCCACAGCGAGGCCCTTGCGGCCCGCGGGCCGTATGTTGTGCACCCCATATCTACACTTTAAAAAATAATAAATAATAAAACAAAAGAAAACAGAGTGAAGAAATAAATTTCCACGGAGGCCACGGAAGTAACATTTACAGTGTGAATTCCATCAATTTCAGGCCGAGTATTGATGTGTAGAAACGAGAAAGAGAGGGAGGAGATGGAGGAAGCCGAAAAATGGTGTTTCATGTGTTATGCAAAGGAGTGGAGTACATAGACCCTTTAGGGGAGGAGGGGGAAATGGGAGGGGGGCTTGAGAGAAATGGGTCGGGTGTATCGGAATCGCAATCTGCTTTTGTGGACCAGATTTGGGTCTGGGTCGAAGGGAGAATCATGGATAAAAATAAAAAATACAAAAGGAAATAGGAGAAACCCAACCCTTTCCCTCCCATTCCCCGAGAGGATCCATGCATTCCACTCCTTCGCTTAGAACATGAAACGTCATTTTTCGTCTTTTTAAAGCTTCCTCCTTCCCCTCCCTCTGCCTCCCTCCCTCTATCCCTCCTTCCTTTCCCAGTTCTCTCTCCGGATTCGCTGTGCGGAGCTCGGTAGTTATTGTCGAAGTACGAGGGAACGAAGGGCATCCAGCGTCGGACAGTCGACGGACACCAAAATCAACCGGAGTTGGAGCGTCTCTCCGCTTCTCTCCACTTCTTTCGCCAAGTTCCGTGCGTTCCTTTCGAAGAAATCTCCCGGTCGGAGGACCGTCTGCTGCGATGAGTATGGCCCTCTGTCGAGTCGACCCCGATACCTGCTCAAGTCCTGCTCATCCATCTCTTCCCTTCCGATTTGAGATCGCGTGTCCATCTTCCCCGAGGAAATTCGTGCGGAAAGAGGCCCCCTTGGAAAGAGCTCGCATCAGCTGGGATGCCGTGCTTGCGCCAGCCGACCTCGATCCCACGAAACTGAAACCCCCCCATTAGCCACCAGGTGGGCGACCGGACCCTCCAGCCCCTTGGACGGGCCGAGGGATGCACCATCCGCCACGGTCTGAGCCGTGGTTCTCAATCAACTGGAAGGACGTTCGATCGACGTCGAGCACGAAAGAAAAAAGTTGGATTCCCCCGGGGACGATAGCTTTGCACCGAGGATCGCTTTGCACATCCAAGTCTCATCCTTTCTTCCCAACTCCATGCATTTTTTTTTACCAGTTAGAAATAATATAAGCTCGGATCATCCGTTTACACGAAAATTTTATCAACAAATTTGTTTCCGAGAATCCATTTAAAATTCAGGGATATTGAAGAACCCGCTCGGTTGCGCTTCGCCGTACTCCAATCAAACGGGCGAGCAACGAATGAGATTGCAGATGCCATACAGAAGCAATCACTAATGCTTTGCTCCAGAACCATTAGCCTCATTTTGTCACGGCCGTTTCTCGTTTCGCAGCTATCGTTTCGTCGGAGATCGAGAGCTAAATATTTTTTCCTGGCATTTATATCTTTCCTTCCTTTATATTTTATTTTATTTAAAGGGACATTTACAAATCGAGTAACATCGTGCGTTAGACTCGGCTCTGCCCTTAACGTCCTCCATGCACGGAACGACTCGGAAAGTAAAAGGGTCTCTTACCGCTCATCGTGCGACCGTCGAAGAAAGCACTCGCGAAATGAAATGGATCCGTAGCGGAGCGAGGTGAAGTGGAACGCCTCGAGTGGCGTCTGTCATCCGTCTGTCATCCGTCCGTCATCCACGAGGAGAGTAGGAGTCCGTTATCGAATGCGGATGTGTCCTCCTTCCATTTCCTCCTTCCTCTTCCGCCTCGAAGTGCGCATCGGCGTCTCCCGTCGCAAATGAGACAGAGAGAGATCGGCACAAAAAATCGCTTTATTCGGAATTTGCACTGGGATGAAGGGATTCGGAACGGAAGGCACTCTGAGTCGTATCACGCATTTATGGACTTGCGATCTTGTTCCGCCCGGAATGAGGCGAGGAATCTTCGCTACCGGTGATTGCTTCTGCACCTGAAAATTCACATCGATCTCAAGTATGAAATGGCGTGCTGAAAACGTAGATGAAAGTCCATCTGCGAAGTTTTATTTTTAGCAACTCACCCCATGAAAGAACGGTGGATCTGTGACGTCACGCGTTCCACGGCGGACGGAAGAGACGAAAACGCATATTGAGGGCTGGTGACGGTCCCCTCTCCTTCGATTCACACGGTGCTCTCGAAGTGCTTGCGGAGTTTGGACGAGTCGGACGGACGAGGTCGGGGGAGGGTCGCCAGGGGCGACACGGAACGGTATTCCGCGTTCCGAGCCTGCATCTGCCTCCACGGATCCAGGAGGACACTCCCCATTCTCGCATCCTCTCCCTCCTCCCCTCCGAAACTCAGCTGCGGAAATTCCGGGGGGAAATCGATGGACTCTGGGGATGCATTCGGGATCGCGGCGATTTCTCAAAGCAACTCGATGATTAATAATTAATTAATTTGATGGGAATGTCGAGACGCTCCGGGTCTCTTCCACCCCGGCTGGATCGCCGGATCGATGGGGTTCACGTTTCTCTGGAGGGCTCTAAGCTTCAATCCAAACCTAAGCCTTAATCCCAGAAGAAATGGCTCAGAGAAGACCCACACATTTTAAATATACAAAAATGTATTCTTCGCTTTCAAATTTTTTCTTTTTTTTTTTTGCTGGTCATAATGCTCCTCTATGAGGGGCGTCCAAAAAGTTTCCGGTCCGAGACACTTCCAGTTGTAAAAATACACCATTTTTATTTTTCTCACGGGAAGACATGGATTTGATGCGAGCTGGCAAAATGTCATCACGTTTGTAAATGATGGGCAGCTTCTACGAATATTTTTCGATGAGCAGCCAAAGGGTCAGCTCAAGGGGTATCAAAACGGAGACGAATGCTCTCATGAATTTTATAAACATGAGGGAGTCCATCATTTAAGGGATGGTCTGTAGGACACTATCCGTCCAGCCGCAGAAAGATCGGCCGTAAATCAGCCAGGAAAGATCAGCCATCAGAAAAATTGATAGAAGCTGTCCATCATCGACAAATGAGATGCAAATTTTCCAGTCTGCATCGAAGACGTACACTATGTTACCAGAAGTATTGGGACGAGCCTCCCTCCGCCGATAGCAGATTGTTCTGGTGGTCATTTGGTAAAGGCCATTACGGTAGCCCAATAGTATTTTATATAAACACAGTGACAGATTGCAGAGTACCATGAAGGTAATCTGCAATCTGTTACAATGTGTTTGCCAGTATGGCGCGTGGGTCGGAGCTGACGAAGTTTGAACGCGGAACTTCAGTTGCTTGTCTGGGCGCGAAAATGCATCGATGTTCACAGAGGATGTTTGAAAAACATCATTTTCGAAAAGTGAACAATTGAAAAGGTAAAATATTCCTTTATTTGCATAAGATCTCCAATGCCTCCTATGCGAAAAATCCTAATGGGTCTTATTTTAAACATAAAGATCTTATAGGATTCTTATAGGATTCCTATAGGGTACTCATAGGATTCTTCTATGATCCGATAGAAACCCTATAGGAATCCTGTAAGGTTTTCATATTCTTATAGGATCTCATAGGATCTTTCCGTAAGGGCTGTGCCATTTCAAGACAAAAAATATTCAATTTTATGTAAAATGCGCCAGTCTTCTCTGGGACTGTATCACATTACCCTGTATTACGTAAGCCGAGAACAGTCATTGCGTTTCAGGTTTAAAAAATATATTTTTAGGTTTAGATTTGTCAGAGGGGGGAACTCTGGTTCTACGATCAGATTCTCCTGGCCCATTTGCGCCATTCTGGCGGAAGAATTAGATGATAAAATTCCGATCAGGTGAGGACATCCGACCGACTTTTGCAGGGTTCAGGGGAGCGCGAATCCCCTTCCGGCGTGAACTTGCTAATTTTGAAAATAAATAATGCAATAAATGACGAATGAAGGCGGGAGCAGCGACTCACGGTGGTGGTGAAGGTCTCGTCGGGGCGGATGGTGAACACGGGGAGGGAGGAGAGGTCGATCAGCGAGTGGCCGCGGTGGCTCGGCGTCAGCCGTCCGTCCGTCCCTGCAACGGGGAGGAGGGCGGTCAGGGGGGGGGGAGGGAGGGATGCGGGCTCGCGTGGGCTCGCATGGGTTCCGCGGTTTCTCGTTGAGGTGTCGGAATAAAATATTTCATTCCAGATTTAATCAAATATCGCCAAAAATGTATTCATTAAAAATGCATTTGGTAAAAATATGTTGAATGAAATATATTAAATGTTATATTGTAATGTAAATGTAGCAGAAATGTAGCAGGATGGAAAACGAGTTGAGCGACCTCGGTGAAACTTGGTACGCAATCTCATATTAGTGTACCATGCAATCGATTAGCGTTTCAGGGATGTGAGATGAGCATTCACGGAGAAACTTGCCAAATGCAGGAGAAAACGGAAGACGAGAATCCCTTCATTTCCTCTTCGAGCAATTTCGTCAAGTTCATCTTGGCAGGGCCGAGACGAAATCTCTCGAGGCAATTTCGACGCGTTGCGAGAGTGGTTCATTAGGTAATTGGGATTCGTGACTCGCTCTCGGGCATGAAGTTTGCTCTGCATCGTCTCGTGACCTTAGAACTTTGACTCCATACCTGCTATTGGTATTAGAGTGTTTGGCAGTTTTCTCTGTGAATATCATTCTACAGGATGGCCACGAAACGGGGGGATCAGTTTATCTTTCTTTTAAAAGTTTTATGAGTGACCAAAGCCGAAATATCGAAGACAGACTGGTGGCCTCCGAGCGGATGCACACGTTGCGGGAAACAATCGTCCCTATGCCACAAGCGAGTTTGAAACGTTGTGGTGATCATACGGACAAACACGATTGATGAAAGCTATCTCCCGCTTCGCAGCCACCTTGTACATCCTTGAACCTCTAATCGATTTCATGACACACTCTTACGAGCTTGTCTATTAAATTTGAAGATCGCCCAAATCCTTCTTGGTCCTGTTTTTTTTTGTGGCGATGATTGCATTTCCCCCGTGGAATTGACGGAAACGCTTGTGTCAAGTAATTTTGTTAACTAGTTATTTGTTAATTATCTAGTTTATAATTTGCATAATCATTTTCGAAATTGTTATTTTTGGACAACTATATTTGAGTGAAAAAAAATACCGATACGATGAGAAGGCGAGATGTGGAGGAGGTCGGGACCGCCCTCGTTGTCCTTTCCGGGCCCGTCCTTGCCGCGTCCCCTGGGAGCGGCCTTTCTCAGGCACTGGAAGTAAAGGACCATGGCGACGGAGACGAGGAGGGCGAGGCCGAAGAAGCCGAGCACGGAGAGGAGCAGCGGGCTCTTCAGGACCTGGACCGGCGATCTCTGCTGCTCGTCTGGGCGACGACACGGGGTCGATCGTAAGAAAGAATCGCTCGGAATGGAATATTTCAAGAAGTAATTTAAAATGTGAAATTCCAAACATGCCAAAATTTCCTATTTTTTTTTAGAATGTTTGGAATTTTCTGAGTTTTCGGCGCGTATTTTTCTATTTAAAAAATACTTCAGTTTTCCGAGTTTTCTGAATACTTTTTTTTTGGAATTCTCGGATTTCCGGAATTATCTTCGAGAAAGACGGATCCCGAGATCCATTCGGTCAAAGAAGGATATGAATTTCCAAGGAAGGGAAGCTTTTAGGGATATTGAATGTCGGCCAATCAAGTTCTGATGGGTAGAACGAGGGAGCACTATATCATTTCACTTCGAAATCGATACATTTCATGCCCGCACCCGTTGCAGCCACATATCGCTGCAAAATATGGAATGAATATTAAAATATTCGTTTTGGATCGCTTTTTCTTCTCTCGGCATTGAATAAATCGTTTTCTACGGTCGGCAGGTGGAGGAACTGACGTCTCCTTTCTCGGAATATAGATGTCGCCTGCATCGCAGCGGAAGCTTTCTGCTACGGCCTCGATTCGCGTTCGCTAGATGTCGATAATGAGGAGTCGATCGGAGCGCCGACCTTTAGGCATGCCGAGGACCTGTTTGACCTCCTCGGGCTCGGCGGTGCGTGCCTCCAAGATTGTGCTGACGCTCCGTCCCTTCCCGTTCGCGGCGTAGATGACGATGCTCAGCTGGGCCCCGTTCCGGAGTTCCCGGGCGGTGAAGGACGGAGTGAAGCTCGTGATGTTCCGGATGGCGTCCCGGGTCCCGTGGTCGTAGACCTCCATCACGAAGAATTGGGGGAGGCCGCCGTTGAAGCCCTCCTGGCAGGACACGGAGAGGGAGGTCATGCTCAGGTTCTGGAGCACGCAGTTGATCAGCGGCTCCGGCGGACCTGGGGAAACGAGCGTCCGTGAAAGAATGGGAGAAATCATAAAATAATTTATCATAATATATCAATGTTTTAATATATGTAATAATTTATCGCCGAAACTATGCAATCATTTCAAGGAAATTGCTGTGAAATTCATGTCAGGACTTTCCCTCCTATAAAGGGATTCCTAAAAGGGAGTGCGATGAATACTCGCAGCTAATAATTCCGATCCAGGAATCATGGAGGAGCCTTGTTGATTCAGGAATCATGGAGTAGTTCTGTTGATCCAGGAATCATTATCCACTCGGGATCTCTCAGGAAGTCCATATACGGCGAATCTTTGTTTTGTTTTTTATCTCGTCGCGGAGGAAATTCCCAGCAATCCTGCTTGTCTCGAGAGATCGAGCCAGAACGAAGATAAAGAGCTTCATCGCATTTCATCTCGTCGGGGGCAAGGGAGCCGATTCTATTTAATGCTAAGCAAATAGGAGTAAAAAAAAAATGCATAAAAGGGAACAGCTGCATAAAAATAATTTCTCTGCCTCGAGCGTTGACTGACAGTCGAGAGGAAGAGAAAGATGTCAGGGTGAGGGGAAAAACGAGGGGAACATCATATAAATGAGGCATCTTCTCCTGAGGATGAAAAGGAGGACATCTTTTTAAGGGCTTTTTTTCCCCCTTGGGTTCAAAGGCGGATGAAGGATTTCATCGGGATCATGGATTCCACGCGGTAGATCGATGAGAGGCTCGAAATGAGATGCCTCAAGAGAGGACTCAAATCAAACACTCTTTGAGGGGGGGCGGACAGGGAGATCACAGGATTGATAAGTTCGTGAGACGAATCCGCTCGGGAGGGGCAGAGGGGATGCCGTGCACGTGCAATGGACAGACGATATGACTCTTTTGGTTGCTCTCTTCCCTCTCCGATTCAATATGGGGGGGGCTGTATTTGGGGGGCTCTTTCCCCCGGAGAAAGGGAAGGAACCGGTTTTCAATCTCCGGCTTTGTAATATTGAAAGGCGGAGATTAGACTTGCTGGGTGACTCGGTCTTTCCGAACTTCGCAATTATTGGGCAAAATGTGCGAATGTCGAGACTGGGGGTCGCGCGGTGGGAACGTTCCCGAACGGAACGACGGGCGGTATCGGCGTTAATTTAATTGAGCGAATGTTAATTGCCCGATTATGGATGATTTCTTGATTAAAAGTGATCGACTGATGATCCTCCCTTGCCCCTCTAACCCCCCCCCCCCCCCCCCTCCCCCCCCCCCCCCCCAGGGTCCAATTATCCCGATCCCCCCCCCCCCCCCCCCCCCCCCCCACTCGCACCCACTCGCTCCCAAGGGTCTAATTATCCAGATGTAAGAAATCGGATGGGGCCATTTCCCCCCTCCTAATGAGAGAGGCTAAAGGCTTGTTAGGCCGGAGGGGGGGGAAGGCAGAGGTGCGGCGCTTATCAGCCTCCAATAGACGGGAACACAGTCTCTCCATCTAGTCTGGCCATTCCTCAACGATTTTCTTTCCTCTCGCTTTCGTTAGCAAGGCAGATTCGAGGTGAGAATTTCGCACGACGTGGGAAATATGCAGCGGAAATTTAGGGAATTTTGTTTCCTCGTTCGAAAAGCGCAAATGGAAACCCTCCGTTTTTATGTCTTCGGATCTCCCACACACGAATGAAGTTCCAACGGAAAAAAAAACTTACCGGCCGAGTTCCACCGCGGCGAAGGCCAAACCGTGCGCCTGGACGGAGGCCCGACCCGCCTGACTCGGAGGACACGCTCGACCATCTGCTTTGCAGGCTGCGCATGTTCCCCCCCACCGGACGGTCCGCGGTGGGCTTCGTTCCACCTCGATCCGTGGAAATTCGATTGAAATTTTGACAATTCAGACGCCGCACCGACCGCCTTCGGCACGTCACGACGCAATCGTCCATTCTCATCAGAACTCACTCCATAATCAGATACATTTTGAAAAGTCAGGAAATTCGAATCAGCTCATTTCGTCTGCCGAGCACGCGAAGGGAAATCTTCGGTGAAACGACTTCCGACGGCCTCAAATCGAATCATCCCCCTGCCGATCGAACTCAGAAGCGACGGCCACAAGCCCATCATTTTGTTTTCCATCGGATGAAGCGCGGGAAATCCCCCTTTTTCCCGTCGGAATCCCCACGAGACCGATCGATGTCGAGATTACTTCCCCATCACAAACACCGTCATTCTCTGTCGCTAGAAGAGAAGTAATGAAGACTTTGCTGAGAATGCTCTGTTACCCCTGCGAGGCTTGAGGACCGGGGATAAAAGTGTGGAAAACCATTTCCTAGGTTTACTGCTTTCGGCCTCTCCCTCGCCCACCGCGGCAACGAGTCGAAATTGAAGGACAAAGGAAGGTCAGAAAGACCGCCTCTCGTCCTCGGCATTGCATCATTCATCATTCAAAGGGGAAGGCGGTAGAGAAGGCGAGAGGGTGTAGGAATTCTCTTCCCTCGGCCTGCAGTACATTATAAAGGATTCTCTTCCAGCGTGGTGAAAGTGGACCAGGCCGAAGAAAAAACCTTGGAAATTATTTCCAAATTCGTGAATATCCATCTAAGTTTTTAATATGTGTATGATAACTGCATTTAGCCGAAGTGCAGAATTACGAATATTGGATGCGAGGATTTATGGCACTCGTATATTCATGTCCGCAAAAAAAAACTGCAAGTTAATGAATACTCATGAAACTATTAAAATATTTTGTCCCAAGAGAGACAGTAGGCCCATGATCGCGTTCTCTCGTATGATTAAGCACCCATCAACAAATCCAAATTTGTATGCGGTTCCTTGAGAACCTAACCAGTTAACCTATGTAACGATGCACATTCCCGATTGCGCATTCCCGAACGCGCATTCCCGGAGGCATGCAGCATACCGGTTTGGATGAGATGGAAGACGCATGGGAAGCGCTGCTGCCCGATGTCGTTGACGGCCCAGCAGAGGAGGGTGCCGAAGTCAAACTCCGTCTTGGGAGTGTAGGGAAACACGGAGGTGGAGGCACCGTGGAGGTGCGAGGGATCGCGTTCGCCCAGGTCCAGCACCTCGGAGGAGGCGTTGAAGGCCCAGCGGAAGCGGTTGGCGGGGGGGTTCGAGTCCACCTTGCAGGACACCGTCGCGCCTTCTCCCAGGGACACGCCGTAGACGAACTCCTGGTCCTCCGAGCACCGAGGTGCAACTTTCAGGGGGAAAAAAGTTTTTCCTTGCTTAGACTGGTGACAATTTTACCTTACTGCCTGTGTGAAATCTCCATAGAGTCTCCATGGAGACGTCATACAGGCATCTCGCCGGAAGCGTGGGCGACCCCTCTTTTGATGGAAAAACAGGTCGCTCTCAGAGGTTCCTCTAATGCCATTAATGCGCCTAGTTCAGACCGCGTTAATGGATTCGACCTAATAACCTTGCATACAAGCATGATAATATGATATTAACCACTTAAGTGCACGGGACCAGCCTGCAGCCTCCAAGGAACAAAATTCCAGGTACCACAGGTTGCATTTGCGACGCAGTTATTTTAGAGAATAGGGAGAAATGGCTCTAGGAAAGAAAACCTTTCGCTTGTTTATGCATCACGGCGGCGCGCTCATGAATCAAACTTATGTATAACACTTTACCCAGTTGAACCAACGGATTAGTTAATTATTACAAAGAGGAAAAAAGGGCAGTCAATACGTTTTTCGCCCCTGAGCAGTTGAAGGAAGTCCGTGGAGGAGTCTGCCCTTCCAGCAATACAATTTCCAGAAGGCGCAGTAGTTTTCACAAGGTAAAACTCATTCTTTCTTTCTGGAAATTAATTTGAAAAAGAAAAAAGTAGCTGTACGCAAGTTTTTATCCAACCGATCGTGCAAGAACTGTGCACATGAAATTAGCGAAATTAAATCCAAATTTCGAACAGATGTAGAAGAAACAGCTGCGATGAGGCCCTCTCGCGCTCACATATGCAACTCAATTTAATGTTTCATCAATAATTTTTTATTATCATATATCATCTATTATTGTCTTTCCAGCCCTCTTGCGCCTTAAATCTCTTTTCTCTTTCCCTATAATGCGCCCTTCTGGATAAAAAAAAAAACGAAGAGCCCCAATTTCCTCGAGTGGATGGAGCGCTCCCCTCTCACATTCGAGACGTCCCCACCGTAATCACGCGCGAATTCCATCTCGTCGAAAAGCCGTCTTCATCTTCTTCGATTCGGTACATAATGCATGAGGCCTCCCACGGGAGCCCCGAGAAGACAGATGGGTTCCGTACTCGGACTCTCTTTTTCGGGACGGCGCATCCCGAGCTCTCTTTAGGACGGGTGAATTCAAATCTGAATTCGGATTGAGATGCCTGGAGGGATGCGTCTCGAGAGCTCTCGAGTGAAGGTATTTCACCGAGGCACTCGCTCCCTCGAGGCAGGAGGATAAAAGACATGCAGATTCCTCCCTCAGCCTCCTCGAAAGGCTCTCCTCGAACGCATCCTCCGCCCCAAGGAGGGCAATCTCCACCTCGAGGAGGGCAACCTCATCTGGGGAACTCACATCGGACATCCAGGGTGACGGGGAGGCTGACTCCCTCCCCTCGCAAGTTCTGCGCGTGGCATCTGTAGTCTCCTGACATCCACCGACGGATGTCCTGCAGCACCAGCGTCTGGTTCGTCAGGATCACTCCGGCCGATGCGTTCTGCCGGATCCGGTTCCCCTGTCGAATCACATTCGTGTTTACATGGCTTTTTTTCCTTCAAATTTTTTCATCGATTTCAATCTTCGATAGCAATATTGTGGAATTTTTACATTGAAGCATATTTTACGAATTGTCTACTTGAGTCTTCCTCTGGGAAATCCACATGGGAAAATTTCTCAGCCGTTCTTTCCTTCCGCCTGCAAACATCGCGTTGAAACTTTCCGGATTCATATACGTTACGGTATCGTTTGTTTGTCCTAGCGGATTGCCGAGTATTGTCTGATTGCCTGAGGCATAGCGAGATGGTATTTTAAGACAGTGATGAAAAGCAAGCAAAAACTGAAATGTCCCTGTCCTCGGTAAACACGGAAAGAGTTGTCAGAATAAATGTTTTAAAAATTCCTTTTTTTATTTCTCCTCAGGCCTCGATAATATATAATATATAAATCTCAAGCCTAGGGAATTTCCGAAAGCGCCTTTAATTGCCTCATTAGCAAATTAATTTCTCTTCCTAATTATGTGTTCTCTCTAAAGTTGACAGGAATCAAAGACATTTCAGACTTTGCCAAAACTAAAACGGATCCTTAAATCAAAAATGATTCTCTCCGATCTTGCGGATTTGAAACATAACTAGCTGTAATTGAGTAATTTAAATTTAAATTAAAAGTAACTTAATGTAATTTAGAGTTAAAAAAATTTCTGAGTAGTGTTTCAATGACTCAAAGTTGCCAATTCGGACTTGGCCCTCATCTAGATTTTCCAGGCTACGTTACGAGTTTATGTGCAAAATTAATTAATTAGTGCAAATTAATAATAATTACCTTATGAGTGAAAAAGACGGAGAAGGACGGGGGATTGGCCCGGACGGAGCACTCGAGGTAGACGTCCTCGCCCTCTCTGTTGCTCCGAGAAGTGAGTTTGCTGCCGAGTTGGAATCCCACCTCGGGCAGATCTGCGGAGGAAATTGACAGAAAATTTGCAGGGGAATCGGGTCTCGCCGGGGTTGGAAAATGTATTTTTTTGCGAGACAGGATTGCGATTCTGTCGCGATTCCGTTCTCGAATAGAATCGCATGATGATGACGAAGTTCCATTTTCGGCAGAATCATCAATTTTTAGGGGGAGCAGGAGGGGCTGGTGGGGGGGGGGAGCAGGG